ACTTCCAAATCCAATAGGAAATGGATTATCTTTCCTTGAGCCTCTTTATTGGCCCTGGATTTTGAGGCTGGAGGGAAGTTGCAGAAGCTGAAATGCGGTTGGGACAGACTGGGGAGTCCTATGTTTTCTCTCTCTTATATTTTCAGAGATTATTTACAGCATAAAGAGTTAACAGTTGCATGGATTGTACTTTATGTTTGTGTACACAAAACAAAGAACAGGTAGTTCAGCACATGACAGCCTGTCAATCTGAAAATACTCTGAAACAAATAGGTATTGTTTCTGGTGCACATAATTCCAAGCCCAAGATTTTAAGAGGGTGGCCAATCCAAGTAGTTTCCCCACTATATACACAATATATTGTATATTATACTCTACAAAGTGGTTTAAACAACAAAGGCAGCAGTTAAGAGTAGTTTGTAACAAAACATAGGCAAGAAACAAGAAGTTGATCCACCACCACCACCCCTATTTTAGCTTGTTTCTGTTTTATATGCATTACTAATATTTTCCTGCAATTCTTCCATAATCCAGACTACTAAAAAGAGTTCTACATAATGAGACCACTTTGTAGAGTATAATATACAATATACTGTGTATGTAGAGGGGAAACTACTTGGATTGGCCACCCTCTTAAGATCTTGGGCTTGGAATTATGTGCACCAGAAACAATACCTGTTTGTTTCAGAGTATTTTCAGATTGACAGGCTGTCATGTGCTGAACTACTTGTTCTTTGTTTTGTGTACACAAACATAAAGTTCCATCGGTGCAACTGTTAACTCTTTATACTGTATATAATCCCTGAAAATGTAAAAGAGAGAAAACATAGGACTCTCCAGTCTGTCCCAACCGCATTTCTGTAGAAACTGTAGAAATGATAGTAAATTTTAGGAGAAGCCTCTTATGCTACAATCACTCATAATACTAGACAACACAATAGCAACAGTAGAGACCTTCAAGTTTCTAAGTTCTGTTATATCTCAAGACTTAAAATAGACACTTAACATTAAAAAAAGCTCAACAAAGAATGTTCTCCCTGCACCAACTCAGAAAGCTCAGGCTGCCCAAGGAGCTGCTGATACAGTTCTACAGAGGAATTATTGAGTCTATCATCTGCATCTCTATAACTGTCTGGGTTGGCACTGCAACTAATCAAGAAAAACACAGACTTCAACAGATAGTTAGAACTGCAAAAAAATCACCCCAGTTACCAATTTCATTGTATTTAAGTACAATGACAATAAAGATTATACTTATACTACCAATCTGCTTTCTATTGAGGACCTGTATACTGCACGACCCAGAAAGAGGGCTGTGAAAGTAGCTACAGCCCCTCGCATCCTGGACATAAACAGTTTCAACTTCTATCCTAAAAACAATGCTAAAGGGCACTGCATGTCAGAACAACTAGACACAAGGACAGTTCCCCCCCCCCATGCCATCACTCTGCTAAACAACTAATTCCTACAACACTGTCAAACACTGTCAAATAGGGGAAATTACCTATCTTCACTATTTTTGTATGTACATTGAGAGCTTGTGCACCAGAAACAAAATCCTTGTATATCTAATCACACGGCCAATACAGAATTCTATTCTATTTTATTCTATTATCTTCTATATATATCTAATAAAATAAATTAAAAATTACAAAAGTAATGACATAAATAGAATGAAGACTATTGGGAAAAGGCTGCCAAGATAATAAGCCAACTGAAAGCCAAGTCCTATGAAGAACTGATTATGCTTAGTCTAGGGTTGTGGAAGCTCATCAGTGGATGATCCAATCTGAACTAAGGAGAAATTTCCTGAGAGTGAGAACAATTAGTCAATGAAACAGCTCGTTTCCTGGATGGGTACACCATCACTCAAGGTTTTCAAGAAATGATTGAACAACCATTGGTCTGGGATGGAGTAAGGACTCCTGCCTTGGGCAGAGCATTGGACTAGAAGATGTTTGAGGTCTCTTCCAGCCCTGTTATTCTATAATAGGAGCTGTAATAGCTGTGTTCAAATATCTAAGGGACCATTGTATAGAAGAGGGAGAAAACTTGTTGGAGGATAGCAGGCTCTGAACCAATGAGTGTAGTGAAATGATACACAGCCATGATGGCAAACCTATGGCACACTTATCCAAAGTGACATGCAAAGCCATATTGCCTGATAAGTGCAGTCTTGCCTGTTTGTCTTCTGGGTTTCTGGTGCACATGAATGTGCGATGATCAACTGTTCTTTGCAAATGCAGCAATGCTGAAAACCAGCGGGCATATGCGTGCTGGCCAGCTAATTGTTGGGTGCGCATGCATGCCAGAAACCGGAAGTTCAGTTTTTCTGGAGCAGGTCCCTTCACACATGTGGCAGTGCCAAAAACTGGCTTGCACATGCACACTGGCCAGCTGATTGTCAGGCGTGCATGCACACTAGAACTCAGAAGTTTGGCTTTTCTGGAATGTGGCCTCGACATGCGCACATGCATGTGACATTTCTGCGCAATCTTTTCAGAACTCGATGCCGATAAGGTTTGCCATCTCTGGTATATAGCAAGGATCCCCAAGTCCCAGGATATAGCCCATTCAGAATAGTGCTACAAAATTGGTGGGCGAGCACACACATGCAGCTCCATTTGCATATGCAGTGTGCAGGTGAGCACGTACACACAGCTCAGGGATGGGTTTCTCTTGGTTCGCACCAGTACGGCAGAACCCGTTCATCAAATTCACCGTATCTTTTAGAACCCATCCATCCGGTGGGACAGTACTGGACGGCTCCATCCTGCCTGCCCCCTCAGGCGCTCCCCCCACCTACTTGGCCACCACTCGCTCACTTGCTCTGCCAGTTCTGTTGCCACTCGCTCAGTTGCCCCCCCCCGGCCAGTCTGCACCATGCTTGCCCCACCTGCCACTCACTGATTGGCTGGCTCACCAATTGCCCCACCTCTAAGAGCCCAATTTAAACTGTGGCACGAACGCCCCACTTACCACTTTTTGTGTTTGGCTCTTGCGTCATC